GGACCAAAGAAACCCTTCCAGGCTCTCTATTTTTTAGTTTTTGGAGCTTAACATGCACTCCTAACATTAACGAGCTTAGTTCCACGAAGCACCTTCTGGGCCAAAAGATAAGACTTTCTCTCCCCCAAATCACATTTTCTCAAATATTTTCAAAGCTGAGATATAAGCCTTTTAATAGAATTATGTAAATTTTGCCCTAACTCCAAGTGTTTTCGGAACTAAATACCTCTTTGAAGAGTCACTGTTTTGCAAAGTCCACATGAGGAAACAAAAGCTAGGAACAGCAGGCAAGGAGGGGGTTCCATGAGGACACCCCAAACTCGGCTTTTATTTGTCCCCAAAGTTATTTTGTGCAAATTCAGAGCAACCTCTGCTTCTAAAAGGCCACACTCGCTGGGATGAGAATGCTGACCAGTCATTAAGGGATTATCTTCTTTTCAGAGTAGAAGCCCAGCTCGAATGCACCTCACTCCTGATTTGAACTATCTGGATGATGGGATAAAAACATCCAAGGCACAAGCCCAGGGCGATGAGCAGTGAAGCAAAGACACTTGCATCCCTCCCCAAACTGAGATGCAAAGGTACATTTGAAAAAGAAAAGCCTTGTGAGAAATAATTTTCTACTTCCTAGTTTCTCTCTTAAGACAATGGAAGAGATTTTCTTGGAAATTAGACTCAGGAAAATATGACTGTAAACGATTTCTTTCAGGATGACACATGCTTAGCATCTCACACGGGGTAAGACTCCTTGTTTAAGACGTGTATACTCACGTCCAGAAGATATATTGTGGAGAAGCAGGCCAACTGTTCTGATTCCGCAGTTCTTGGGCCTTCTGCGTGTGAGTTAAACCAAATCACGTACTTGAAATTGCCACAGGGGCACTGTCTTATCACTCAAGTGACTCCTTGGAACTCAGTGCTGATGAAAACGGTGACCTTTTTGGGGACTCAGGTAATGTTGCAACAAGAAAACAGTGTTTATGTTTAAAGCTGTCTCCTCTGCTCTACACCTAAATGATGCAGGGGGGCACATTTGGGCCCTGGGCACAGCCCCAAAGCAGCTTGAAGGACCCCAGCTGCCTTCTGAGCTGGCCCTTTCCATCAGCTAGCTATTCCCTCTTCAAGGTGAAGGCCCTTTTCTCCCTAAAAGCAGTGCTGGAAGGTGAAATGTTTGGCAAAACAGCCTCAGACAAAGGATGGGCACAAGAGAAGAGCAGCACAGGTGACCTTTGCCAAATTATGATTTTGACACCAGTTCAGCATTTTGAGGGTCACTAGCTAAAGATGACATTGCCAGCGCGGCATTTCCTCATAATAAGGTCTCAGCTGAAAATCCAGCTCCCATCAGCTTTCCAAAATTCACTTTTATATTTAAAAATACACACGAGATGACAAACCTCCAAAACTCCAGCGCTTACTCTCCCCCAGAGTCATGCCTGACTGCCCTGGCTCCGGCGCTGTGATACGCCCTCAGCACAGCTCTGTGCCTGCAGCTGGGAGGTGAGTGGCTTGCACAGAGGCTATTTGCCACCGTCAGTCTAGGTGATGTGCACACTTAGCTAGCATCTCCACCAAGGAGTTTAAAAGTCGGGAACACCAGCAGTTTCAAATATGTAACCTGATTTCAAAATCAAGTTCCTGTGTTTCTGCTACATCCGAGCGTCCCCAGCCACGATGGGCTTGACTGTCACTATCTTGGCTGCTGTGTAACTTCTCTTGCAGGTCGCTTGATGTTTATTGGCTTTAAAATTGACATCTCGGGCTTCCCTGGTGGCGCAGTGGTTGAGAGTCCGCCTGCCGATGCAGGGGACACGAGTTCGTGCCCCGGTCCGGGAAGATCCCACATGCCGCGGAGCGGCTGGGCCCGTGAGCCATGGCCGCTGAGCCTGCGCGTCCGGAGCCTGCGCCCCGCAGCGGGAGAGGTCACAGCAGTGAGAGGCCCGCGTACCGCAAAAAAAAAAAAAAAAAGACATCTCTAGGTCAGCAGAAGTGAAGGAGTTTCTTCCTTGATTTATTTGTTCTTGTTTATGTTCAATTATGATTAGAAGCCACCTCTACATAGCTGCTCTGTGGTTTGTACTGTGTTTGCTTCTGGGATTTCTTCTAACAGCACTGTTCCGTAGAATAACAGGGATCCGTTTTTACAGTTTAGCATGCGGCGGATGGTGCTGTTTTATTAAAAATTGCTGAAGGCTGTAATTTGTAGGTAATTAATTAATCCATGTGAGATTTAACCTTAATATGTATTTTCCCCAGAGAACACTTTTCTATAAGCAGAAAGACAAAAATGAAAACTTAAATCAAACCAAAACACACCTATCAAACTCTTCTGATCAGAATAGCAGTATCCTCTCTGTGCTCATGTATCTCTGAAAGACGTGGCTCCCCACTTTGGTCTGAAATGTCAGGTTGTAAAAAAAAAAAAAAAAGAAAAGGAGCCGTTGGTGGGTTTTTTGGTTAGGTGCGGTTTTCTCCCCTAAAATAACAGAGACTTCATAGACACAGATCAACTGCATGTTCTTTTCCAAGAAATTTCTGCAGGAAGGTTTTCAAATGTGGTCGTGTTACAACGTTAAGTATGGATAACACAGCAAAGAGAAAAAAAAGAATGTTTTGGCTGGTACATGTGGGTATTAGTTTGCAGTCTTGAAGCTAACTGAATATCCATAGACTCTGGATTGAGTCCAGGGAATGGCTCTGATGCTTTAACTGGTTCAAACTGGTTTGGTTGCCTGAGTTAAAAGTGCTAAAAGGGAACAGAAAACAAGTCTCCTTACTGGCTGCTTTTCTGAGCATCCTTACACAGGGCACAGTTGTGAAAGAAGGTCAGGAATGACAAGCAGACAGGTTATGCCTCAGGGAAAAAAAAGATCAATCAGAACTATAGGTATCGACTGTACTGTAAAGGGACCATCAGTGTGTGTGATGAAGTGGATCATTTTCTAGTTTTCTAGTTTTCACAATTTTAAAATTCAGCATAGTAGACTGAGAATAAACCATTTTCCACTGCTCTTATCATCTTCGAATGTGCCCTGTGATGTTAGAACTGTTAAATATTAGCTTTTTCTTTATTTTTCTGCCTCCCCTGCTAGAAGGTAAATGCTAAGGAACTGATCACTTTATTTATTCCTCTAGCCTTAGATCTGAACTAGTGCCAGGCACATAATTCTTGCTCAATAAATGTTTGTGGACCAAATACTGATTAATCTCTATCAACTTTATGTTCCATGAAGCTGACTGATGATATGCCTATAGCTTCTGAAATAACATTACATTATTTCATACTCACTGAACACCAAAGGCAAAGCCCCACTTTCTTATTTCAACATACAGTACAAACTGCTAACATCTTGAGACTTTTAATATTCTTGCTTCAAATGAGTTGAGGCCTCCTCCTCACGTGGAGAGTTACTGATTGGTTATCAATTTAATCGCTTATGAGATTGTTTATTTCTTGAGTGGAGGCCAGAAATAACACTGGAAGAGAAAACTCTTTCCAAAGTTCTCTCATGAATGTACCATCCAACTAAAGAAAGCTGAGAAAACATTACTTCAAAGTGCTTTCAAAAAAGTGATGTCAAAGTTTGCACACCGATGCAGTGCTGCTTTTGTTTCACATAAGCACACATATCTGTGTTTAATAAAACGTTGAGAGAAATCTTGTTACTTCTGGAAAGAAATGAGGAACAATTGTCCTCTTACAACTTGCAAACTTTAGCCAATATGCTCTTGGACCAATGGGCCTGTCTCAACTGGTGTGCTTTCTAAAAAAGGCAGATTTCTAGGCCCCATCCTGAAACTTCTGATTCAGTAGGTAAAAGTAGGGTGCAGAAATCAGAAAGGTTTATAATCACACCAGGTGATTTATATGAAAGTTGTCTGCAGACATTACTTTGAGAAAAATAAAAAACAAAAAACGCCCTGATTGGTAGAAGATTCTACAAAATCTTGGTTCCCTTTGAGCTCAACTCTCATTAGATTGTAATTTAGGCATTTGGCTGCCAGACAAATACCTATAAATTTTGATTATAAGACAAGTAAAATGGCTGAGATCCTATTAGAACATCTTATCCAGTTCAAAAATGCTTATCGTCTCTATTCTTCAGTAGACTGAGGCTTTTGTTTAGGTTGATGCTACAAATGTTGGCAGAAGTCAAGTGCAGGAAAAAATAAATCAGTAGAAATATTCCATCTTCAGTTGGCAAACCACAAAATATTTTCTCCTATATTACCTAATTTGCTTCTCAGAGTAACTCTGTGAGGGAGTCAGGGCAGGTATGTGTTGATCTAATTTTGCATATGAGCAAACCCAGGACCAAGGAGGTTCTCACTTGCCCAATGCTAAGTAGAATTAACAACAGAGAAGTCATCCCTCTTGGGACCGCTTGTGCCTAGTTTATTGTTTAATTACTCTTCATGGTCCCTTACATATATCAAAATATACTTTCTCATTGCTTTTCTTCCCTGACTCTTCTTTCTCTAGAGATGTTGCATGGAGAGTTCTTAGTTACTTCCTCCAGGAGGAAGAGGAGGGTTGGATGTTATTGTTGTACTTAAGATTAAATGAGATAATGTGTGTGAAAAGTGCTTTTTGTAAGTTATGCAATAGTATACATAGCCATGAATATATTATTATATGCATATATGACTATATGCATATATGCATGTATTAGTATTACTAGTATTATTATTAATACTACTACTATTGCTTGTCTTTTCCTAGGCTTTAAGCCTTCAAAAGGGAAACTCGTGAAGCTTACTCAGCGTATCGAAGGAAAACAGAGCCACCAACAGCAAATTTGGTGATAAATCATAAAAGGAAAAAAATGGAGGAAGGAATACATGCAAAAAGAAATAATACTTTTTTGGAGTAAGAAACAAATTAGAGTATGCTGAACTTTGAGGAAGTGCTCAAATGTAACTGAAATTGAATTGTGGGAGGAGGTATATGACTTCTCTCCAAAACGTCTCCAAATGGTACATAAATAAATAAGTATACATAAGCTTAGAATGTCTCCTTTATTTTCTCAGGAAAGTTCTTGTAGTTGAATTCGAATCTGCCAGAGATGTTGGCCGCTTCAGAGGAACCACAGAGGTTGGCACCTGTGCTGTGAGGTATCCTGACTGGACCGGGTCTGAGAGACTCTTTTCTATCCTGGAAGCAAGGAGGCATTTCTCAGCAGGATGCTTTGCCTAGTTCTCACAGCCTGATAAGGGAATGTAACACAGACTGCCTCACTGCCTTGTTATTTTCACTCTTAATATTTTCTGGTCTCTGCACCTCATTTCTTTGCCCATAATTCTGTATTGGCAGTTGTAATCAAATCCTACCTTGGAAATGTCAGACTTGGGAGGAAAAGAGAGCAGTTGTTCCAACAGCTGCTGCTGTGGGCTCTTTTGCTGTGTCATAGTGCGGGGAGCGCATAGACGTGAAGTTGAATTACCAGAATCCTTTCCGTCAGACAAACACTGCCTAAATCTGGCGTAAATAACTGGCGTGATGACTCGAGCCAACTGTTCAGAATAGGAATGGAGTAAACATCAACGTCTCTGTGTACATCAGAATAACTTTGCATAAAGGTCTGAGGGGCTTGAAAAGTTTTTCTCATCTAGTTGAATCTGAATAAGAGAAAACAAAAGAAAGCTTATCATAGCTGACAGATTCACAAATGACATGCATCTCACAACAAATTCCGGTTCACATCATTACACTGACGTACCACTGATTGTAGTCTGGATTGAACCTAACTTAAACCAGAATCTGGATCAGATAATACCTGGCATGCTCACTTAACTTACTGGGGCATCAGCGGCCACTGCTCCATCGATCCCGACTAAAATGCTCACTTAAGAAATTCGTAAGTCTTAGCCCCCTCTAGAAGCTCACAGATCTCCTTTGAATCCCATTACACAACACGACACCCACCCAACACCAAATACGTAAAGGGTGCATTCAAATAGTATTTGAGAAACGAAATTCAACATGCTACTCTAGGAATTCCCACTCCTACTTCTTTAAGGGAAATTTTTTAATTGCTGAGAAGGTATTTTTCCTCTTCTTGACCCTTGTAAGGAGCTTGAAAGCAAAAGACACTTTTCCTGTGACATTTCCCTCCAAATAGAGAGATGGGGAAACATCTTTAAGATGTTCAGAGGACACAAGAATGTAATCATCCCCAGCCCCACTAACTAATCTGGTCTTTTGAACCAGAAAGAAATCAAAATATTTCAAATTCTTTACAGAATCCTGGGATTTCAAGATGAAGCAGACTCTCTGGCCTCTCCACTCCATTCCTTTGTTCCCATATCTGAATATCTTCAGGCTGATAAGCATCTGCCTATAATAAGAGCTCTATTTACTAAGCATCCAGTGTATATCACACCCTGGACCAGGAGCTTCACAAACCTCATCACATGTGGAATTTTCAATCCCTGGAGGTATTGTTTGCACACCTTGCAGGTAATGAAAAGAGGGTCAGAAAAATGTAGATACTTTGCCTAAGGTGATAAGAGATAGAAAATCTGAAGCCAGGTCTGTCTTCCTGCAAGACTGTGTGCTCTATTTCTGTCTGCACATCTGCACGTATGTGATTTGTTGTACAGAGATATCGAACTTCCTTTATCCAGATTCTCTGTTTACTAGTCATATGACTCTGTGCAGGTCACTTAACTTCCAAAAAGGTAGGTTTCTGACAAAACGGAAATGACAATTCTTGTTCCTTGTACTTCATAGGATTGTTGAAGTGAAATGAAATAACACATATACAGTATCTTTGTAAGCACTAAAAAAGTTTCCAAATGACAGATGTGCACTACTCAGGGTTAGGTCTGACTATACAGCAGAAAAGTCATTGTGGCTTTTTAGGTTGAGCTGTATGGCATGCGGGATCTTAGCTCCCCGACCAGGGATCGAACCCGTGCCCCCTGCATTGGGAGCATGGGGTCTTAACTACTGGACCGACAGGGAAGTCCCAGTGTGGCTTACATGAGAAGACAATCGATTTCTCTCTTATGTGAAAGATGACCTGAGGGAGGTGGTCCAGGGAAGGCATGGCAAGATGCCTAACGTCTGGCACCCAGGGTCCTTCAGTCATGCTGATCTCTTCTTTAGTACATCACCCCATGGTACCATATGGCCCCACCCACACTGACTACATTCAGCAGATAAGAAGAAGACCAAATGAAGGGTGCACTTCCTCTCACAAGGATCCTTTCCCAGAAGTTGAACACATTCCCCATTTCCCCATAATCTTATGTTATCCACTAAAGCATATAGAGACATACAAATTATGTTCAGATGACAGGATTTATTAATAAGGTTTTAGATGCAATGAGTCATTTTCCCTCTGAGAGCATAAACGATGCTTTCAGATTATTTCTAGGAGAAGATACACATCAGATATTATCCTTATTTCCAGGTGCCATGTGCGAAATACAGAGCGACTACAGGGCTTGTTAAAAGTCACATGGTTAATGGATAAAAAAAATCCCGACAAGGTATTTGACAGTTGTACCTTCTACACAATTTTTTGAACAAAGCAGCTGGAGAGAAAGTATAAAATTCAGCCAAATGTTGGCAGGAGAACAATGCAAACATCCTGAAGAATGACTCAAATGGAACTTTGAGGAAACATAACTAAAACCAGGGTTCTTTCCATCAAACTAGAATGCTATAACCAAAATTCTAGTACTTGAAAAATTGGGAGGCAAGCAGAAATAAAAAATTCTAGCTACATACTCCCTCACTTCCACATTTCATTTTTTTCTGTCTAACAGTGACAATTTTAAATATATGGAGCCTCTAATTATTGACTCTGGTACAAGCTCCTGCTTCTTCCCATAGACGACTGTCGTGTTGACTAATGACTAGCACCAAAGAATGCATCCTCACAACGTTGAGATATGTGTAGAAAGAACTTCGGGCTAGCATCACTTATTCAAGGCTATGACAAATTATTTTTAAAAATAAAGTACATACATTGTGTTGTAGAATAAAACGTTGTGCATGGAATTTAGGCTAAAACACAAGACTACGGCAGATGCCTAGGCTACTCTCCCAGACAGCCAGGAGTCACTGTCACTCTCCTCTCACTGAGATGTCTCTAAGAGGGATTTGCACACTGTATGCTTCCTCCCATACCTCATTCAGGCCTCTACTTAAGTGTCCCCTCCTAACACTGACTTCCCCAACGACCTTATCTAAAAAGCCCCATACACTCCTTCACCCCACTCTCTCTCCCTCACCTGTTCTAATTTTCCTCTTGGCACTTATTAGCACCTGACACTGGCCGTGTCTGTACTTCTGTCTTTATAGTCTGTCCCCAAATAAACTGTGAACTCCACAAGTGTGGGACTTTGACTTGTGGGCTGCTATATCCTAACTTCTGCCATATTTACAGAATAAATAAAATAATGAAATACTGAGAATTTTAGGCACTCTTGTAGACAAGAGAAAATAATTGATTTGGGCAGGTGATCCCATGATATGTCCCTTAAATCATACCATAGGTGTCTCTGACTAAGCTTACAAAAGCCTTCAGAGAGACCTCAGTACATCTTATAGGACACTTTTCACTCTCATTAAAATGAAAAATGTAGATAAAATCAGTCATTTCTTTCAAGGCTTCTGACTGATTCCCATTAAGGTTGCTGCCCTTACAATAGTTCCTTAAGTGGCTGGTAATAACCTTCTCATAAACTCTCAGAGTAGAGAATGCCAAGCACATCCACATTCATTGATTCATTCATTCATTCAATTATGCAACAAATATTTTTGGAGTACTTACTATGAGCGAAGCAATATCCCTGAGGATATAGCAGGAGCCAAAGTTCCTGCCTTCATGGAGTTTATTTTCTAATGGGAAGAGAGGTGGGTGATAGAGAAATCAGCAAGTGTATTTGGGAGGGTGAGAAATGCTGAAGAAAAAAAGGGGTGGAGGGCTTCCCTGGTGGCGCAGTGGTTGAGGGTCCGCCTGCCGATGCAGGGGACGCGGGTTCGCGCCCCGGTCTGGGAAGATCCCACATGCCGCGGAGCGGCTGGGCCCGTGAGCCATGGCCGCTGGGCCTGCGCGTCCGGAGCCTGTGCTCCGCAACGGGAGAGGCCACAGCAGTGAGAGAGGCCCGCGTACCGCAAAAAAACAAACAAACAAAAAAAAAAAACAAAAAAAACAAAAAGGGGTGGAGGAGACAGTTACACCAAGGGAGATTAGGGAAGAAGGGAAGAGAATGTGAAGAAATAAGAGGTTATGCAATGTGGAAATGGGGGGGAGGGTAGTTTCAGGGTTGTATCTTGGCAGGAGGAGAGGCTCCAGGCTGAAGAAGAACCAATGAGAAAGCCCTGAGCTAGACCTGTGCAGGTGTGTTCTGAGACCAGCAAGGGGGCAGTGTGGTGGCATCCGCTTAGCAGGTGTTGGGTCATTTGGGACAGTGTAGTCCTGGGTTAAGTGTGTGCGGAGAGCAAAGAGTGAAGAATGGAAGGTCTACTTGATAAGGTCGGAAGGATACCAAGGGAGCTGGACCATCCCTCCTAGGCCACCACAGAATTGACTTTACTCAGTGAAGTGAGGACCGTGAAAAGATTCTAAGGAGAGTGGCATAATTTGACTTGCTTTTTGAAAGGTCTTTCTAGTAGCTGTGTTACCAGCAAGCCACAGGGGCACAGAGCATATGTAGAAAGACCAATTATATGGCTGCTGAGAGAAACGAAGAGAAAGAGCGAAGTCAAGGTGGATGCCAAGATTTGGGGCCTGAGTGACTGGCAAGACCGAGTTGCCACACAGTGAGGTGAGGAAATGGGAGGGATGTGGGGCTTGGGGACAGGGGGATTTTAGGCACGCAGTTATAAATAACAAAACTCATGCGGCCTGTTTAAGCAGCAAAGGGATTGAGCAGCATTCAGAGCGGCTGCAGCAGAGCCCGAGTGCCAGGCCTGGCCGTGCCACACGCTGCTCCAAACAAGTTCCGTGTCCCAGAAGACCCAAGTCCACGTTGACACTGGGTACCGGAAGCTCCGCCTCTGCTGCCAGAAGCCCCAGCTGTCACTCACCAGAAAAAAACTATAAATAAATACGCTATTCCATACGCTTCTGCTTCTCACTTCCCTCTGCAGATAAGGACCACCTGATGGGCAGAGCCGGGTCCCAGACCGCCGAGGAGCCTGGCTGCAGGCGCTGGTTCTAGCTGTAGAATGTGAGGGCATCAGCTCTACCCCCGCCCCTGAAAAGCGAGTCACCAGGGCTTGACCATCAGCAAACCCCAAGATATTCTTGCCATCATTTCTTTGCTCATTACTAAATGCTCCGTGAACATATTCTTAAAAGGGACATGATTTTTTTTTTTTTTTTCTCAACTTCCAGTTCCAGACCAGGTTTCTTGTGGAATGTGCGGCCAGCCTTGTCCCAGACCGGATAAAGGCCTGAAGCAGGGTGGTGAAAACTACATCACTGTTTGAGAAATAGTTCCATGAGAGAAAAAAAAAAAAAAAAACACACAAGATGTTTGACACTTGGGAATAAAACATTTCCAGAGAAGAATTAATAATAGTCTTCAGGCACAGGAGGGAATATACACCATGTAAATGATAAATGGATAATTAAAATTGCTTACATCAATGTTTAAAA